GCAAGCTACTGATGATGATGAAAGTACTCGGACAAATTTGCTTCTCTCAGAATGCTTCACTGATAGCACGAATAAAAACAATAGTAGCATGCCAATGCTATGTTCAAATCATGGGCAAAGACAGAGACAAGCAGTATTTGCAGAGCAGAAAGGATTAAACGATACGGCTGGTATGGAACAACTAAAGGAAAGTTCATCCCAAATGGACAATAAATTCCTTATGGATACACCTCATGTGACTGATGGTGATAATTCCATTAGTGACCAACTACATCCAGTCAACAGTGAGAAGCATGGTCAAATAGGAAGAGGTTTTGAAATTCTTACAGAAAGTACAGATGGAGTAACTATTATGGAGGAACGTGATTTCACGGGGTTAAGTCTAAGCCCCATTCAGATGGAAAGTCTTGGGGAAATATTTGATGCATCAGTAATTAAAGCTGATAGAGAAACTGCTGTTTCAAGCAAAGAAAATGTTGATCAAGCTTTGCTTGATATTGGAGGTGGTGTGAAGTCAGGTGAATTTAAGAGAGATTTTAACATTTCCACTTCTTTAAAACAATATAGAACAGTCATAAAAGAGGGTGGCCATTCAGAATTGGATAAAAATGAATCCTCTTGCTTTGAGGACAGGAAAAGGGAAAAGAGTATAACTAAAGAAAACAATTTTCTGCTAAATACAGAAGAAATGCATTCAAGTGAATTTAACACTTATTCTTTTCCCCCGACTGATACAGTGAAACAGAAGGAAATTAGTGTAACTACAGAAACAGGGAGAGTTACCTGTCAAAATACTGGCAATGTTCTTAAGGACTTTTCAGAAAACAAGTGCAGCAATAATAGTGAATTTTCCCTAATAAAAGCAGATGTGTTAGGAAGTATGGAGGATGCCGAAGAATCAGGGGATAGGAGTGAAGTGCTAACTTCTGGGAGTCATACCCATACCACTGATGTTTCTTCTGCAATTTTGAGCAGCATAGGGGCTGACTTGAATTATGGTGCCCAGAAAGAACATGAGACACTGAAAAACATAAAGGGAGAAAATTTCGTGGCCAGTGAGATTTCTTCCCTTGGAAATGGTTTCAAAAAACAAATGTCCATGGAGTCATTGCAAAAGGAAATGGGACCCTGCAAGGATTTTCAAGTAAATGAAGGTATTTCACAATCACCAGAAATGTCTGCTGCGCTAATGGAAGACTTAAAGAATATATTGGAAAGGAAATTGAAAATGGGACATGTTTACTGCAGGAAGGAGGGTGAACCCCTAAGTTACTTAGATACAAAAATGTTAATGCAAAATTTACTTAAAACGGTTAGAAGCACCCAGCTCGGGAGTGACACGTCTAGTGGGTCAAATCTCAAGCAAATAAGTAATGCTCTTAAAACTGCATTAATGGTTAGCACCCCATGTACAGAGCCAGAGGACGGTGATGCTCTTTCATTGCTGTGGCCTGACTGCAGAAGTCCTGATCTTCTTCGTGATATTCTGAAGCAAGAATCCTGCAAGCAAAAGATGGCTGATCCAGATGAAAGGAAGAGTGAAACAGACATGAAAGCTCCTGTTCCAAACCCTACTACATCTGAACTTCTGGAGTTTTTTCAAATCTCACCTGGAGATGAAAGTACAAGCAAGTTAGAGGAGCTGCTAAGTGGTTTGCTTATGAGCTCACAGGTTGCTGGTATAGCCACAGAACGTGAGGGTAAAGGCAAAGTAGATGGGCTTTGTACTGTTTTTTCAACAGAACAATCAGAGTGTGGATCAGAAATAGCTAAGAAGAAGACATTGGCAGATGACATGGCCATTGCTTGGAAAAGTGACCAGGAGCATGGGAAGACAGCCAGCCCATCCAAAGGCTTTACTGAGCCTGTTTTCAAAACCAAAGAAGTGGTCCTGGAAGATGCCCCCACTAGCGCGGTAAGTAACAACAGCTGGTATGTGTCCCATCTCCTGTATTAAAGGAATTGCATGAATCCTTCCAAGTGCTGGAGAAACTGGAAAAATGGTTGAAAAATTAAATGATAAATTTAAAATCAATTAAAACAAGGACTTTTATTGCTTATTTTCAAGCCTCTCAGTTTGGAAAACCTTTTCTTATTGTTAAAACTAATTTTCAGGTCAGTGGAGTACAGCAGTGTTTGAAGTTAACAGAGAAAATGCGAGGACATTTGGCAGTGCTTCAAGATATGAAAAGCCACCTAGATAACCAGCAGCCTGTTAGTAATAACCTGGAAATACTAAAAGATGAACTGGAACAACTAGAGGTAGGTAAAGTGTTCTTTATATTGTACTTCAGTGATGGCTGCTAGGAAAAGCCCTTAGATAAAAAAGGAGATATTTCAAATATAAAGTAATTCAGATTTAAATGTCTTTCTTGCTTAGTAACTTAATGCATTTTATATATATTCTCTTTGTAGTCATTTGAATCAGGACTGGCTACCTTTGCAATTATCCTAAAAAAGGACATGAAGTTGTCAGAAGAGTTTTTAAAGTTTTTTAACAAGGATATTCCTGAAGAGAATCTCAAAGAGCTAAAGATAAGCTGTGACTATTTGCAGGAAGCATTTTTGGTGGTCTGTGATATGTCTTCAAAACGAGCAAAACAAGTAGTCTGTGCTGTTGACTTGGAAATGGTATGTTTTTATTAGTGTACATTTGTACCTTGGTTTTCTTCAAGGTAATTTGGCTGAAAACAAGGAATTTGGTTTTGCTTTATTTTGTTTTATCTTAATATAAAAATACACTTACTGTTCTATTTAATATGATAGAAAATGTGACTAGACTACAGGAGCATAAATAAATATACAACTTCCCTTTCTAGTCTAAGCTTGCAGTATTACACCAGCAACTTTTAAGCAGACTGCAGAGATTTTCAGACTGGATCACAGAAAATGGTAAAATCATGAGTGACGTCACAGTGAATACTGGTGATATAGAAGAGGTGAAGAAAAGTTTACAGCTATTTAAAGTACGTATTCTTTATGGCAGGTGTTAGTGCTTCTGACAAATGTTGTTGCTTGTTATGAATTATTAGCTAGGTTTTGTATACCTGCTCATTAACCTCTATCACTTAAACAGATGTCTAGAACTAATTATTTAAGACAACTACTTGATAATCTAGTAATGAAATCGTGTTGATTTGCTTTTTCTCTGAAAAAAAAAATTGATAGAGTTTGGCTTACTGAGAAAACTATTGGTTCTGCTTGCATTTATTGCAATAAATCTGACCCTTTTGGGAAATCTAATTTATAATACAAATATTTCAGTGAGATTGGATCTCTATGCATAAGGTCCAGAATCTTTACTGAAGTTTAATTACCATCCAAATCAACTGTATGTGAGAACAGAAGATGGGGAAAGATAAAAAGCCTCTTCATTACACACTCCATGAAATGAGTAATGGAAAACAAATCAGATCAAAGTTTTAGTAACGTTCATACACCTTTGTATGTATGGATGATAAAAATGACGTTATTTTACTATGCTTTAATAGGATTCCAGTATGCATGGTAATGCCATAGGGGCTGCACGGTGTGTTAACTATGGGCAGAATTTGCCAAACTGCTGGAAATGGGGCTTCTTGCTGTGGAGCTGAGAACAGGAATGCTTTCAAGTAAATATTTTAACATTTCTGGGTCTTCAGACCTAGAGCCTAGAAATGTTAAACCTAATCTATTATAAATCTTCCAGAGTTGAAGGTCAGCCAGTTTTCAGAAATCCATGAGAGAGCAAAGAAATGAAGATGTTCAAGGTCATATTATTTATTACTTGGACATGGGCTGTCCCAGAGGCAAACCATGCACAAATTCAAATGCCATATCTGGATGTGTCAGAATGATTTTGGCAGAGAGTTTTGGTTTACTGTGGTTAAACTGTCTCCCAAAAGCATTTTGCAAGAGGGGCTAAGAAAAGAAGGTAGTGATGCTTGAGTTTTGTTGTACTGAATTTGTCCTTACTGCTAGTCATTTCCTTCTCTTCATTTACAGAACAGTGCTGCAGAGCTCAGCTGTAAGAAAATGCAACTGGAGTCCACTGCGTTTGACGTTCAGTTCTTCATTTCTGAACATGCTCAAGATCTTTCTCCTAATCAGAGCAAACAGCTGCTGAGGCTCTTAAATACCACCCAGAAATCTTTTCAGGAAGTACAGGAAGCAATAACATCTCAGGTGGAAAGTTTAGAGACTCAGTTAGAGGCAGCGCAGGAGCTGGGTGATCAGAAGGTTTGCCTTTCTGTGTAAACTTGTGCTGAGTGTTTCTGTCTATGGATGAGGAATTTTAATACCAGCATGCAGTATTGAGTGTATTCCTATATTCTTAGTTTTTGCTACAGATATGTTCGTAGTTCTGCAAAGATGCTATTGATCAAGTTTGATGAATTGGGATTTTTTTCTGTCTCTGGTACAGTCACAGAAGCAGCGTGTTAGGTTATGGACAGATGTGGTTTTGGGAATTAGGATCTGTACAGCCTGAGGTGACCAGGTCTGCCCTGTCTAGCAGTGAGAGGAATGTACTTGAGGTTTCTTGCAGGTGTTGTTTGTTTAGCAGCTGTATCAATAATTAGGTAAACCAGTGAACTCTCCTGGCTGCAGCTGCATTGATCAGTGAATTTACTGTTGCACTGCTGCTCATCACTTCTGTCCTGCTGAAGATTTCCTTTTACTTTAATTTGCCAGGTTATCTGCTTATGTGATCATTTTTCTAGGTCTTTATAGTCAAAGAACCAGATTTGATTTAAATCCTTGCTACCATGGCTTGTTTTCACTGAGACAGGTTAGAGAGACAAACAAATGAGTAAATCAGCTAAGGTAATTTGCAATTCTAGGCGTGGGCACTGGGAAAGCTATGAGTTAAGTTGGGACAGTTACCTCCAGCTGGCACGGCTGCAGTTGCGAAGCATAAGCAGCCTTTGTAGAGTTAAAGGAGGCTGATAAGATGCTGCAGTGTAGCTGCACCTCCTCGTCTCTCATAGAAGCACTATTAAGACTCAGAATCGTGTTTTAGCATTCTGAAGACTTCATATTATTTTGCGATCTAAGAACATTTGTTTCCACCATGCTTTGTGAAAGAAACATGAAATTAGGTAAAGGAAAGGCACAGATAACTTTTCTAGGACTTAGTAACGATAAGGAGCTTGCATGTTTTGTTCTTTTCTACTGCTTAAAAAGTCAGTGTTTTCTATTCAGGTAACATATTATGCATACCAACAAGAGCTAACTCACAATCATAACTAACCTCTGTTTTGATATCCTTTTTTCAGAATTAATAGTGTTTATCACAGGTTTCAAGCGGTTAAGAGACTGGATTTTCACTCCTGTCGTTTGGAGGTTTCATCTTTCACATATGTGCATGGCCAGACTTCTATTGGGCAATTCCATCAAACATGGTCTCTCTTACTTAACAACATATTCGAGGTTTATCCATAACTTCTGTATATTCATCTTGCTCCTTGTACCACTGCTATCATGTTTACAGCATACTTTTGAAATGATTGCTTTTAAATATTGATGTTCAAAGGTAATTCCTATTAGAGTGTCTGTTAGTTCCTGAAGTGAGGATGGTTTTGTTTTATTGTTCAATTGTCCTTGGCTCTAATATAGGATGTGGCTGAACGGCAGCAGGAGTGTAAAGAGAAACTGCAGGAAATCTGTGATTTGCTCACACAGACTGAAAATCGACTCATCGGACAGCAAGAGTCTCTTGTTATTGGAGACAGCAAGGCTGAGCTAGAACAATACCAGACCAAACAGGAGGTATGTGCAATTCTAGTCAGATAAGTTGAAGAAGACTGAGTGCAGAGGAGAGTGACTAGACTCTTTTGTTGACTAACAAGACTGATCATGTGAGAGGAGAGTAAAATAGATTTGTTTGACCTACAAAGAGTAAAGGCTTAGTGGTGTGCATTTAAACTGCTGCACATGAGTACACTCCAGTGTGTGCCAGTGGGAGAAAAGAAACTTTCAAACTAGGAGACACCGGAATAGGGAGTACATACGAGACACTTCAAGGAGCACTCTTGGAGCAGGCATGAAATTTCTTATGTATTGTTTGTTCCTGTTGGATGCGATAAAATCACACTTGTTCATTATGCTAAAATAATTTAACCAGATTTTTAACTGGTATCGGGGAGTGCTTATTCCTGTTCACAGTATTTTGAGGAATTTTGCTGCAAGGTTTTCTCTTGCCTCAGGCTTTCCATTGCCTCACTCTTGGTTTGAATTCTGTTTTTTTTCTAGTGTTGCTTGCAATCTCCTTGGTGTCCTTATGTAACAGAGCCCTTTCAGTTTGCTTGCTTTCCTATCGAGACTTTGCTTTTCAGCTGTATCCTGTCGTCTGTAAGCTTTTAGTCTGTCCTGACTGATACTAATTGAGTTTATGATAGTTAAAGGACTGAAGGACTTGATACTCCTCTCCTTCCCCCTTCTCCTAGTAGTAGTTTACTGTTCTGTAGAGCTCCAAATCAGGTTTAGTAATCTATAAAGGCACTGTCAAGGATTGGAGATGGGCTGACCACTAACGAATGACAGATGCTCTCTATTAACCCCTCTTCCCTCCTGGAAGGGGGAGAGGGACTAAGAGAGGGACTTAGGGGCTGGAAAAGAAAACTAAAACAACTTTAATAAAATAGTAACAATGAAAAGAAAATATACAAACAAGAAAATAATGAAATTCATACAAAAACCCAACCCCCCTGACGACGATAGGCTAAATCACCACTGATGCTGTAGGGCAGGCACCGGGGAAGTCTGGACAGGCTGGACTCAGCGGTGGACAGGAGCTGGATTCAGGAACTAGATTCAGGAATGCACAGATCGGGATGGAAGACAAGAACAGAGGGCATCCTCATGGGACGCTGGGCTCTGAAGAGGGCTTAACCCTTGTCATCCCTCAGCTTTGTACTGAATATGATGTATATGGGATGGAATATTTGGTTGGTCAATTTTGTGTCACCTGTCTGGCTCGCTCCTCCCCACAGGTGCAACCTCTTTACCTACTTATGACCCTTTCACTTAAGGCACTTCAGCATGGGGCACAAGTGACCTTGGTTTCTATAGGAGCAAGTATAAGCAAGAGCCTTTCTGCATACCATTCCTTGGTAGTAACTACACACATCAAGTGTGATCAGTGCTAGAAGCAGACACTGAAAAAGTATGCTGTTGGTTTCAGAAAGTGCAGGTACTTAGAAGAAACTTAACTGAAAAGTAAAATCACTGAACAGTTCTAACTCAAACCAGGACAGGAAGAAATTTCCTTATTCATCTTGTCTTCAAGATGTATCTTGAAGATACATCATCTTCAAAGTAGCACATCTAGTTTGTTGAAGTTCTCCTTACTGTCAGTGGAAAGATACAGATACCCCTGGGGTACCTCTTAATACCACTTACCCATCTTAAGAATTTGTGGCCTAAATGGGGTACCCATGGGAGTGAAGAACTGATAGAGCGTATGCTTCATTTTTTTGTCCATCAGCTGTTTGTGATTGCCTAGCAGACTAGTTGTTGTTTGCTGACTGATTTGTTGTTGACAGTGTTGTAGAAGGGTGTCCCAGAAGGGGAATGGGGGCTTAAAAAAGGTCGTTCATAGATCAAGTCAGAGCTGTCGTCCTCTGAGTGAGCTGTTCGAAAGGGAGCACAGAGATCATTGTCAGAGAAGGAGAATCTTGTCTTTATACAGCATCCCCAGGAAAATCTTCCTAACATACTTGTTGAAGTCTTAAAATGAGCTGCAGTTTTAGCTGCCAAACTGTATTCTATAATTGCTGCAAAATATGTAATCTAGAATGAGAATTAAATGTTTTTGTCTTGCAGCTTCAAGAGTGTTACACTGCATATAGAGAAAAAAACCTTCATTATTTCCGTAACTGGGTGAACGTGTTCTACAGCATAATTATTGTTACATTTAAAGCTCCCGTCAGATAACTGGAAGGCAGTGGTTTGGTTTTTTTATCTGGCTCTATCATAGGACTAGGCAAACTGCTTTGGATAAACTAAAACTAAACATCTGTCCTCTATAAAATTTAATGGACTTAAACATTCTTTGGAGATTGAAATATTATGATTGATTACTGTTAAAGAAAGATGTTCTTAACAGCACTTCTGGCCTGAGTGAAACCAAGAAATATTGGAAAACTTCCACCTGAGAGAGCTAACTACATGTTTCTGACTTTTATTTAGCTGCCTTACTTTCCACAGCTTTCTGTTAGAATAGTAATGGAATGAAATTTGTCAGGAGATTCAGCTTCCTTACTGCAATGTAGCAGGTTTACTTTATCTCTTGATGTCTGAAAAATAACATATATTTTCTTCTGTGTACATGGAAATACAATATTTGAGCTGCTAAACAAAGAAAAAAAAAAAAAGCAGCCTCAGTCGGAACAGGAGTGTAAGCCAACAGGCTTGCGATTTTTTTAAAAAAAACCCAACAGACAGATTGAGCTGCAGCGACATTGTCAGATGTTGAATTGATTTTATTTTTCCCATAATCCTATCTGCAATTTAGTAATGTATCATGTGCTCTCCCCAGTTAGAAAGGACCAGTGTGGTGCTTACCCGTAAAACAGAGATAATGCCAATAAAGTCAGTTGGAAAGACCTGGTGAGTAATTTACTTACTGCTATTTGCTTTCTTTTTTTCTCAAAAGGAGATACAAAAAGACATGAGAATGAGTGCCCAGACACTGGCAGAGATTGTGAAAAATACTGAAACCTTCTTGAAAGAGAATGGAGAAAAGTTGTCACAAGGAGACAAGACTGTTCTTGAACAGAAACTGAATGAAGCTAAGACAAAGTGTTTGCTCCTTAGCCAGAAGGCAGAAGAGTCCAAAAAAGAACTGGATAAAGCTATGACAACAGCAATTAAGCAGGAAACAGAAAAGGTTTTTAGGCGACCATTTCATACCTTTATTTAAATTTTACATGTCTTACGGGATTAGTCTTGCAATTTATTATTGATATACTGTGGAGAGATTAAAATCGTATTTCATTTGAGTGAATAACAAACTGGTCTTTTATTTTCTTTATAAAATGAACAGCAACATATATGTCGTATCAAAAATCTTGTTTAATGTTAACGTATTTTAAATGATCTGTTTTGCATATGATAATTTGTAGTGCCTAAAGATTTCTAAATTCAAACTGTGGAATTTCAATATAGGTTGCAGCCATAGAACAGCTGGAAGAAAGTAAAAATACAATAGAAAATCTCTTGGATTGGTTATCGAATGTGGATAAAGAAGCAGAGCATGGTTGGAAATTTAAGCAGGCGATAGAACAGAATGGAACACACTTTGAAGAGGGAGATGTGAAGTCTTTGGAAGGAGAGGAGGATGATGTCAATGGTAATCTACTGGAAATTCAGCAAGACATTGTAACTCAGGTGGATGGACTTGTAAAAAGCACAGACGATAATCTGAACCTGCAGTATCAGAAAGTCAAGGTACTGTTATTGGGTTTATTCAGCATTTATGTGCTAAGTGTGTCAGTCCTCATTCAAGATTGAGTGATTTCAATCTAATACTTTCTGTCATAGACTTTGGAACAGGCACTAGCAAGTTAGTGATGTACAGTGATAGGAATTCCAGTAGTTAGCATGTGTTGCGAATTTGTCACTTTTTTCACTGTTATTATGGTTGTTTCCTGCAAAATAAGAAAAAGGACATATCCTACAAGGTAAATGGTGAGAATCCTGGTGGTGAGTCTATTCTTAATTTTTATAGTGAGAAATCAATGCACGTAAATAAAATACAAAGAGCGGCAATGTAAATTCATACCCTTTATGTGACTTCTTAAAAAGTCTTTGTAATAGGCAAATGATTGAAACCCCTGCAGTTCCCTGTGACCACTGATAACTAGTAGCTGCAAATAATAGTTTGCAGAAATGACAATCTTCATTCCCTATAGCTTTAACACATGAGAAAAGCACTATTTGAAGGCTTCAGAGGGATAAGTTACATAAAACCACAGCACAGCATTTTAAAAATAGATTTTCCAGGTAAGAAAATTGGAAGCATTTAAAATAAGAGCTCAGTTTGATGGCTTTTCTTGACTTACAGTTGAGCAACCAAGAACTTTTAGGTGTTGTTTGATAGACATGTTGATGAAAATGATTATGCTGATAGCTGATACTGTTTTGTATTTCCTTTCTTATTTAAAAAAAAAAAAAAAAAAAAGAAAATAAGATCATTCGATTTTGTGTACATAATGTTTTTACTTCCACTTACTTTGACAGTTCTTTTCTGCACCTAATGCCTACAAGATACTTGCCCACTGTACTCATGGAAGAAAAGCTTATCAGTCTATTTTACATAGCTATTCTACATGGGAGTGGAAGACATTCAAGAATTTTGAAATAATATATTTGAAATATGTTTTTTATTTTGCATACAATTCTAGTTCCTATAACTTAACTATTTTTTAATGAGATTGAAGCAATTTACATGCATAGAATATGTCTAGTTCTTTAATGTCAAAAGGACCTGTTTTATGACCAAGTATATTTGATAAGAATCACTGCTCTTGAAATTGAAAAATGAAATTAAAATTGTTGGATAATAATGTTAATTCACTCAATAGAAGAAGAAAGCGTCTGTATTATCTTTGATTTTGATGCTTTTACTCTTTTCGGTCTGTTTGTCTGAAATGGTAGCTACAATAGACATAACAGAAAATGGAACAGTTTTGATTTGGACATTTGCCCACCTTTGAATGACTTTGATAAATCCCATTTTGAGACGGGGAATTAGAAAAATTTTGATTACGCTAAGCATGCTACCGTAAGTGTTAAGTAATAAGCAAATAATTTTTATTAGAAAAAATATCTAGTTTTACTATACAGAGCTGTCTTTCAGAAGTATGGGAGAAAGTGTTTGTGTGATAGATAGATATATATAGATATAGATATCCTAGTATTTCTGAGTTCCAGTGAAGACCTCCATTTGAAGTGGCCTTATATCTAGCTAAAATTACCATTGAATGTTTCATAAAATTTTGAAACTACACAGAAATACGATGACCAGGAGTCACGCTTTCACTTAAATTACTCACAAAATGTTTTTTAGCTAATAATATGAAAATAAGAAAAGCTTTTTATCATTGTGATGGGCTTTTTTTTACTTGCCATTTCTAAGGAACCATCCAAGAAGGTGCTGGTCATAATTTATCTTTTTTTTTTTTTTTTTTTTGGTAGGCTCAACATGAGAAAATTATTTCGCAGCAGCAGGCTGTCATAATAGCAACCCAGTCTGCTCAGGCACTGCTTGAGAAACAAGGGCACTACCTTTCCCCCGAAGAAAAAGACAAGATGCAAAGGAACATGAAAGAGCTGAAGGCTCAGTACGAGACTGCTTTAGCTGAATCAGAACGGAAAATGAAATTGACTCATTCTTTAAGAGAAGAACTTGAGAAATTTGATGCAGACTATAGTGAATTTGAAACCTGGCTGCAGCAGGCAGAACAAGAACTTGACAATTTGGAAGCAGGTGCTTCTGACTTCGGTGGTATTATGGTCAAACTGAAAAGGCAAAAGAGTTTTTCAGAAGATGTTATATCTCACAAAGGTGATTTACGGTACATCACAATTTCTGGACAAAGAGTTTTAGATGCTGCAAGGTCATGTAGCAAAAGAGATGGTGTGAAAGTTGACAAAGATGGCATCGATACTTCGGCTACATATGCTGAAGTGCAAAATAAACTGGATGACGCCTCAGATCGTTTCAAATCTCTCTATACTAAGGTAAGTTTCATTTACACAGAGTAGGAAAGACTACTATGATTAATTTGGAAGTTTATATAAAAAGGCGTTAGCTGATGAAACAAATACTGTGGGATGCTGTAAATTCTTTGTTTCTTAAAGTTAGATAACAGAACAAGATGTTTTCTAGAAGATCTGCTTCAGTCAAAAGATCTGAATGGGTGAAATTTTCTACCTTGAGTTATAAGGGAGAAATAAGACCAATTTCTTCATTGCTCTTTCCAGCCTTAAACAAACTCTTTGAGATTATGACAGTACAGGATGTTTTAATAACATTTTGGGGTGGAAAGAAATTGTAATACTTTTAGATGGTTAACATTTCTTTATGTTCCTGGTGATATTTCCCACAACTGCTTATTTAACATTCAAAATTTCAATTTCATTTGTATCCTGAAATAGTTTGCCCCAATAGGATCTTTGTTGTCAGCACTAGGCATGCAAGAACGTAGTGGTTTGAGGATAGCTACTCTTTTGCACTACTCTGCCAAATAACCATTTTATCATTAACAATTTGAGATAAGTCTCTAACTAATGGGAAACTAGCAGTGCAAAATCCTCCTTGTACTTCAGAGAGGGAAGATAATCCAGCTGTCTGTGCCAGGTTCATGTATGGAATCTGACTGGTAGAACTAGACAAACGTCACCAACTGGTCTTGCTTGCCAACTTTCCAGCTGTTTTCAAAAAACCAACAAAGTGTTGTTCAATATTGGTAATATTCTGGAATTGTAAACTTTTGAGGTAATTATTAATTGACCCATTTAAGAGACAGTTCCTGTCAGTATCCTTTGACTATGCCATTTCCTAACTTTCTAAGATCATAGGTTTAGACTCCTTAGTAGAGCCTCAGTGTCCACTGAGACAGTGTTGGTCTGCAGCAGTTGCCATCTTTGTCTGGGAGTTTTCATCTCTTTAACATTTTCTTGCTCAGAAATGTAAATTCTGTAAAGATGTGAGTTTGATCGTTTGATTACAAAAACAGTGTAAACCCTGTTCTCTCAAACAGTTTCTGAAGAAGGCTCTCCATTTACAGAAGGTCATTTTCATTTTCCTATCTAACTTATATGAACAGTGAAGCTAAAAGCTTCTATTAACACATTACATTTCCTCCAGTTGATTTACTGGATTAGTTTGAATGTGAATGTAAAGATTTCATTGCAAAATTTTCAGAGGACTTACTTTTATGCACATAAAAATCCTATGCCAGCATCTTGATTTGTGGTCTCAGATTGTCAATTTGCCAAATTATATCCTTTCCATATATATACATTTAGCACAGACATAATAGACATGCTTTAAATATTTGACCATCAATATGCAGAGGAAAGTAAGACTTTTCTTATTAAATTGAGTCTTGAAGGACAGACTTCTTAAAAAGTGAGATCTTCCACAATTTGAGTGAGATCTCCTAAGTTGTAAATGGATTTATTGTAACCTTTTTGCCTTTTGTAAAAACTTCTTGCTTTTAATAAATAGTTATATTGCTTTTGTTTTTTATATATATGTAAAAATATTCACACACGTGCATATGACTTTATAGGCTTATATGTTGAGTCAATCTTGAAGTCAGTTCTTAGGTGACTGGTTACGTAAATAAGTGCATTCTATGTTTGTCCACCAGATGGAGACTAAGTACCGTATGTAAATATTAAAATACAGTGTATGGAAGGTTCAGGCTATAACTATTTAAATATTTTTATAAATATTATTACTTGATGCAATCAGATTTTGCTTGTGAAACCAACATCAAAAAGTCTGAAAGAGTTCCACTGACCTTTTTACCTGATGATGCACTGCACACATTTGGGGGCATGGTAATTTATAGGATTAATAGGATTTTGGTCAGATTACGTTCCGAAGTGACCAAAACAAAGCATATGTCCAATACCGAGCCATATCATTTTGTATTCGCTATGCAGATAAGGTATTTATGAAAGCAATACTCTGCTGTCTGTATTTTAATGAACATACACATATCTTCTGATTTTTTTTTTGAAAATTTCTGGCTTCCATGGGCTACATTTTTGGTGTCAGAGTGCTGATAAAGAGCCTTTATGTTGATGGATCAAAAAGTACTCCTAAAGCTTTTCCTGTTCTAGTACAATGGGTTAGATTCTCGTTTCCCAGCTGCATTGGTGAATTGATCCTAAATCATACTTGAGAAGCACAAACTGGGAAGACCTGCATAGCCTGTCCAACTGTCATGCCTTTGTTCAGAAATCAGTTAGGCAGTGGAATGATGACAGGAAAAAATTTCAGGAAGGAAAGTATGACCTTGAGATTGGAATGAAATGCAGCACACGGTTTAATGCCTGAGTATTTGCTTGTTTGTTTTCCACTCTTTTAGTGTAGCATCCTTGGAAATAACCTTAAAGACCTGGTGGATAAATACCAGCATTATGAAGATGCCTCATCTGGACTTTTGTCAGGTCTCCAGACCTCTGAAATAGCTGTGAACAAACAACTATCAGAACCAATTGCAGTGGATCCTAAAAATCTCCAAAGACAACTAGAAGAAACCAAGGTGAAAAGCTTTTAAAAGCAGCGGTACTTTTGTCCTAAAAGGAACTGCTTTTTGTCTGAAAACCAGGATAATCTAATATAATCCAAGTGGCTGCGGTCCAAATTCTTGCCTTGCATGTGGGCATGCAACTTTTATAGTTCTGAAATTCGGCTGTCCAGAGCATTACCTGGAAAGCATTAAGGTGGAATAAATGAGGAACAAGATGCCGTTAGCAGTGGTGAAAGCAAGATGTGTTTTGTATCACTTAGCAAATCATAGGGTGAAATCTGGAAAGGTTTTGAACTGAGAAAGGATTTAGTGATTACAGTTTGCTATCAGAGTAGAGGGATGGAACTGGGCTCCTGCTAGAGAGGACCATTTGATGTTTGTTGTCTATGACTCTTGCTTTTTTCTGTTCAACTTTGTGTGTTACTGCACTATGAAAGGGAGCGTCCTGGATAAGCAGTGTGATGTGATTAGTCCATTAGCCTGCTTCAGTTGCGTCCAGTACTATAAGCCCTGCAGAGATATATATCATAATTTGCACTGCACGGGAAACCAGTATTTTGTTCCCACCCCGAGGGAGTAACTCACAACTTTATGTAAATACTAGTAGAGGCAAGACAGGTTAGTGATGGAGCTTGTGAAGGTAAAACTCTGGTTAGTTGTGTAAAACGTAGGTTCACAGAAGGCTTTAGGAACCCAAGTATAAGGTGAGTTTTATAAAGTTTCATACGGTCTGTCATCTTTGAACTGACTCTTGTATTTTCATAAACACATTCAATCATCTTTACTATAATTAAAATACAAGATTGATTATTTTTCAGTGAGAGAGGCTATTGGTTGGGCATTTCTTCACTGTTTTACCTGTGCTATGTGGAGTATCAGTGCAGATGTGATGCGTTTACTATTGATAGATGATAGTCAGGGGCTCTTGGAAAGTCCGTGCTTTAGCCCTTTCCCTTACATCAGCCTGAGCAGTAGTTACCTTTTACCACATTGTATCTTTCAAATCTGACACTGGAGTTGCTCAGCACTTTAGTGCATGACACGTCAGAGGAGCCAAATCACGGCAATGTTTTAAGGCCACAGAATTAAAAGTATAAGTTTTGAACTCCTAACGGTGGAACAATTTAGGTACATTTGTGCTTCAAAGCACTAGAAAAGTAGGAATAACACCAATTACAATTTGAAGCTTCATTTAAACTTTTTGTTCCTTATGCCAAAACGAATTATATCCTCTATAATGTCAATTCTCATGCAAGTAATACAAAAGGAGTGAGTACTGGGGTTCTTTTATGAAACGCCTACATGGATTACTTGCCACACAAAAGAGCACTCAATGAATATGAGCTGGGAAGAAGGGAGAGGGTACAACGTGTCAAAGGATTCAAAGGAAGAGAAGGAACAGGAGGCTGGAGAAAGCAAGCCAATTAATGAAAGCAAAACAAAGAGTATTTTTGAAGAAGTCAGGTGTTGCAAGTTAAAGCTGTCCCTTGTAGCCAGCACATGCAGCTGATAATCCAGCTAGACACAGACCTTGGCAGCATGGTGGGGTCTAATCTTTTTATGGGGATTAACTGTTCTTCAGAATATTCTTCAGTGCCTCTGGCATCAGATTGCTTGCTTTCTGTCAGCATATGAGGTTTTCTGGTATGTCTTTTTTTTTTTATTTTGTTTTTGCACAAGTACAATGTATTTCTCTAGTGTAAGGAAGATTCCTTGTCAGGAAACTCCTATCTGAGTTTTATTATGTCAAGTGGGTCAGCAAGACATTTAAAGGCATACTTTTGTGCTCTGGATACCAGTGCTGAATGCACTGATGTGACTTCTTTGTCCTGACAGGACAGATAGGACTACCTTTTGAGTCATATGTTCATTGAGTTAGTGTGTATTGAAAAATAAAGGAGCAGCCCCTTCATTTTGGACTTGTATAAAGTTCAAGGGAATCTAAACAAAGATACATCATATACACTATTGCAGAGGCCTGAAATAATTTAAAGACTGTTTACCCTAAAGTACTTCTGTACACTGGAGATAGAAAGCCACTTTCAGCAGTTGATTCAGCCTTCCTGTCTTTCTCTGTTGACTCCAGAGCAAGTCATGGCTGGGCTAGTCTGTACACCTGTGTTCCTTGGCTAGATGGTCAAACCTAGGCAAAATCCAGTGACACTGGCTCCAGGAGGTTCCTAAACTGTGAAGGTCATATCTTGTTTCAAGCCATTCCTGTTTATGCCACGATATCAGCCTGATCCTTTGTCAGTAGAACTGGTGGTGAATGTAATTACTGCTGCTGACTGTATGTTTTTCCCCCTGAATTGTTCTCTGATGCTGAGCTGAAAAATATGTTTGTTTTTCTTTTGGATAGTACATGAGTCTGTACAAGTGGTCTTTAAAAATAATCAAAAGACTTGAAGTTACATGCAAGAAATCAATTGAGTCAGAGAAGTATTGTAAAACAGAAGATAAAGAAGGTGGTGAATAAACTAAAATAAGGGCAGAATTGGTCAACAGCAGTCATAGCCACTGGTGAAGATTTTTTTGTAAGGAAAGGTCACAAATTGAGTTGATTTATTCCCAGCACTAAATTTAGATTGTATCGCATATCTCAAGCCTTGCATGTGTAACTATTGGCTGTATTGAAAAGCGTTATGCTTTCAGTTATTTATAATTGTGGAATTTTACAGGTTCTTCAGGGACAGGTGTCTAACCACCAAATTGCTGTAGAAAAACTGAAAAAGGCTGCTGAAGTGTTATTGGATACAAGGGGAGAGTTGACACCAGACAAAGATGAGATTCAGAAAACACTGGGTAAAATGTTTACTTTTCTTAATAACCTCTTTTTATCATTTGTGTCTGCATGCAGGTACTGGAAGAGACAAAATATAGAGTTTCCACGTTCTTGTGTCAGTGTTCAGGTCCCTGTTTTGTTGAGTCATAAGCTATTACAACACAGTAACTTCATTGTTGGTCTGTCTCCTACACTGATCCGTATGCTTTTCACTTAAAAGCTGTCTTTTTTTTGATTTTACTTTTTTTTTTTTTTTTTTTTCAGAATTAGGCATTATGTTTAATTCCCATGTTACAGATGGGCATGCCAAACAGAGGTAGTGATTTGTTGAGGATCATAAATTCTCCAGTGGGAAGGGGCATGTTCAGGTTCAAGGAACATGACTCCAGCTATCCGTTTCCAAGCAATTACTTGAAGTTTGCTTAGCCAAGGAGTTATTTCCTTCTGACTTCAAGAAACTGTCTGTCATGGGGTTGACCTTAGCTGGCTGCCAGATGCCCACCCAGCTGCTCTTTCACTCCCCTTGCCCAACAGGATGGGGGTAGAAAATAAGATGGAAAAGCCCATGGGTTGCGATAAAGATAGGGAGATCAGTTACCAGTTGATGTCATGGGCAAAACAGACTTGACTTGGGGAAAATTAATTTCTTTTCTTGCCAAACAAAATAGGTTTCAATAGTGAGAAACAAAGACAAATTAAAGCAACATCTTCCTGCCACCCTGCTCCCTTTCCAGGCTCACCATCACTCCTTTCTTCCCAACTACTCTCAACTCCTCCCTACCAAACAGTACAGGAGGAACGGGGAACGGGTGGTTGTGGTCAGTCCTTAATAGCTCCTCTCTGCCACTGCTTCCTCCTCGCACTTTTTCCCCTGCCCCAGCGTGGGTCCTCTCCGTGAGGTGAAATCTTTCAGGATAATCTTGCTCCAGTGTGGGCTCTCTACAGGCTACAGTTGCTTCAGGAAATAGCCACCTCCTCCAGTGTGGGGTCCTCCATGTGCTGCAGTGCGATTGTCTGCTCCAGCATGATCCTCCACAGGCTTCAAGGGAATCTGTGTTCCAGCAGCTGGAGCACCTCTTCCTTCTCTTTCTTGTCTGACCTTAATGTCTGCAGGGCTGTTTGTCACACTTTCTTTTCCCTCACTTCTCAGTCCCAGGCAGCATTTTCCCATTTCTTAAATACATTTTCCCGGAGGCACCACCAGCTTGGCTGGGGAGCTCAGCTCTGCCCTGTAGAGGCTCAGTTGGAGCTGGCTGGAACTGTCTCTGTCTTCCATGGGACAGCCCCTGGCCCTGTCTCACAGAAGCCAAAAACCTTGCCACTACCAAAACCTTACTGCCAACACCCAATGCTCTTTCCTGTCAGTTGTAAGAAGCAGCACAGCATGACATTCACCCTGCCTGAAGTTTGAAGACTCTGTGTATCACACAACTGTCTCATACTGGAATGCCATAAGTAACTTGCAGAGCAACAAAATAAAACAACTGTGGGCTTGCCTCTTTGGAGTTGGTGATGAAACTCCATGGGAGGTACATGGAACTTGTAACTTTCAGAGGCTTATCCTGAAAGTGTTGAAGCTTTAATGAAGAACCGTCTGGAAGAACCTTTCAGCTCTAACAATACCATAAGAGACATGATTGTGGAAGAGCTGTCTTAATACTCTGCTATTTTATTTCTTGGGAACAGTCAACAGCTGTCATAAGCTAGAGCTGCATGGGAACCAGCTTCTAAAAGCTGGGGAGTACAGCTGTAAGCTGCTCCCTCATTTCCCTTATCCTATGGGCTTCTTGGCTCTGAAGATTTTGATCTTTGCTTTTGTGTTTTTACTGAATAAAGCTGATGTTTTTGCTTTGTTCTGATGTAGGCAATTTTTGACTCACACCTGGTGAGAACTGGTAAAATGAGTTAATAGCCTAGTTTGGCTAAAGGAAAAAATCTAAATATATTTTCTCTTTACCAGATGATATTGTGGAGAGGTATGACAATTTATCCAAGTCTGTGAATGAAAGGAATGAGAAGCTCCAAATAACTCTGACACGATCCCTAAGCGTGCAGGATGGTTTGGATGAAATGCTGGATTGGATGGAAGGAGTTGAAAAAAGCCTTGAAGAACACGACCAAGTGCCTTTGAATTCTGCTGCTATTCAGGATATTATTAGTAAAAGCATTGTAAGTAGCATTTTCTGAAAGAAGAAACATTTGTTTGATAATTCAGATTTCAAGAATGAATTAAAATCTTACTTTGGCACCTTTAATGGATTCAGAATACTTAATAATAAAGAGGGCTGTTGCGTGAAGTGCGACTTCACATAAGGATTTTTGTAGCTGAAATAGGTAGATCTGTACTGATGGTCTAGCTGTACTGATTTGTTGCTTCATATGGTGGGCCAGTTTCACTGCTTAAAATTTAGTTATAAGCGGTACAAAGTAGTTCTTGCTTGTTTCAGATGCTGGAACAAGACATTGCGGGTCGCCAAAGCAGTATAAACACTATGAATGAAAAAGTGAAGAAGTTCATGGAAACAGCAGATCCATCCACTGCATCCACACTGCAAGCTAAAATGAGTGAACTTGCAGGACGGTTTTCTGAAGCAAGTAAGAAGCATAAAGAAAAGCTTACGAAAATGGAGGAGTTGAAGACTAAAGTGGAGTTATTTGAAGGTCTCACAGAAAAACTTCAGTCATTTCTAGATGAGAAAAACCAGACACTCAGTGAGACAGAAGCACCAAGAAAGGATGTTAGTGAAGTGTCTCAGTATATGCAGGTGCTGTACCATTCCGTTTGTATATATTGTGCATTTCTAGTCTAATTTATCTAAATGATTGAACATTAAATAAGGCATGCTTGTTTCCCAACTTTGGTTGGTTAGCTAAAATCAAGAATTTAATTTTGAACAAGTGATTGTAAAGTCAAGTATGAAGAACGTAATCCTCTTTTGCAGGAAGCTAGTGTAGAATTGGCACAGCATAAGAAGGACCTGGAAGTTTTGCAGCAGCTTCTTGAAGAACTTTCATTCCATGCTCTTCCTGGAGATAAAGCTTTGGTATTAGAAAAAGTAAATGCATTGTCAAAGAAATTCAGAGAGGTAGAGGAAACTGTAAAGGAAAAGTAAGTTGAATAATTAAAGTGCTTCTGCTTTGGCTAATAATGCAGTGTTGAACGTTGTGATGACTGCTATCCTCTTGCATGCAATCTCAAGAGACTGCAGTTAACCACGGAGTAAAGATGTTTTTTATTTAAAAAAAAGAGATTCTGTTTGGAAATGCCTCTGTAGTTAGTCTGGTTCAAGAGCTCTAATGTGGTCTGTAAAGACAAGTAACTTTTCAAATTTTGTGACAGTCACAGGAGTCCTGTTGGTTCTAAGAAAACCATACTTTTCCTCTTCTCTGATAGAATACAAATTGCTGTTTGTGCAGATTGCTCAAGAGTACTGCTTGGAATCGGGCTGCGAAGGAAAACTGGAGAAATTAGAGCTTCCATATAAGAGCTTATTAGAGCTTCCATATAAGTCACATGTACAGCAAGACTAGATTTTCCTCATTCTGCTCATATCCATAAAAATGAGCTTTTGTGTTTCTTTGAATTTAGAAACAGCAGTGTCATATTGATAGTATCTGTTGGTTTATTATCAGAAGGAATACTGACATTCCTTTAATTGTCTTTAATTGTCTAGAGAAGAGGATGTATCATCTTGTCAGAAACAAATGGATACTTTTGAGCTTCTTGTAGAATCATTAAAGAAATGGATAAAAGAGACAACAGAACGAATTCCAGCAGCGCAACCATCTCTGAATACAGAGGAGTTAAAGAAACCTTTGGAAGATACATTGGTAAGACATTGTAAAGGAGAAGTGAAATATGGCTGGGGGAAATAGGGCAGTTATTAGTAACACAGCAGTACAGACTTACGGTGTAAGCAGTCACAGTAATTTGGTCTAGGGAGCTTGCAGTCTGCACTTACATTCCCATTTCCTTTGCATGTTTGGATATACTGCAGGGGATTCCCAAGTAGCAAGGTTGTTCCTTTCTCTACACTGAATCTTTTAGGTCTGAAACCAGTTTTGTAATGAACAAATTACTGTCTTTATTAACCAGAATTTGAAAGATGAATGGACATTGAAAGCACCTGAACTGCAGAAAATGAATAGCAGAGGAACGTTGCTGTGTAACCTAATTACCGCTGTGACTTCTCCTGCCAAACTGAGAGCAGCTGCAAAATCAGGTATGCATTTGTATCATCAGGTAAGCCTAACATTTCAGGAATTTTTAAAACCTTTAAAACCAAAATTAAAATATTTCACGCTTGGGTTAGCTTTCTGAATATTATGGCTTGTGAGAAGTTAGTTAGCCATGTCTGTTCTGACCATTGTTTGCTGTGACTCTCATTTCAACTGTCTAACTGCTGTAGTAATTCAGTACACATTTTGATTGGAGTGCCAAAATAGCATAAAATTGCTTTGATGTAAATGATTAACAGGTCCTAAAGCTGTTACTTCAGTACAGCTATGTACTGAATAACGAACAAAATGAATGGTATCACAGTTGCCTTCGCCTCACCCCAGAAAGCTTCTGATAATGAGAAACTAACTTACTCTGATCAGTGTTCAGTACTTCACAGGTCCACCAAGTCTGCAAGTAGGACAAATACAAACCCTGCTTTTGCAAACACTGACGTACCTGCACACCTTTCCTGCCACAGGGATACCTCTTTAATGGCCTTATATTCTGTGTGACGCCAAGCAAACCCATAAAGGTTTGCAGAGTCATGGAGTTTTTGTTAGAAGGGTAATGAGGACATGGTTTATCTAAAAAGTAAGCCTAGGCCAACATACTCATCCCAATATGATAGCATAATTAATGCTAGACAATATTTTAGTTGAAACAACAGTGTGGAAGGGAATCAACTCCATATCCCAGCATGACTTTCCTGGGCCAAAATGTGTTTCCAGTCTGGAGCTTCAGCTAAATCCTTTTTACTGGTAATCTGATTTTTAAAGACAGCAAATCCATTTCCATGATTTTCTGTACCCTAGTGTTGAAATGCTGATTTGTTTTACAGAAACTAGTAAGTATCATTCAAGCCATAGTTCAAGGCATGTGGTGCATAGAGTGTTTTAATGGCCATGAGCACATTTTCAGTCAGTTCTTGAACTGACTAGGTCTGGGAATAAATTCAAGTGTGTTGGCCTTCATTGGTCATCTGCAAAGGATTGAGAGGGTGGGGACTGACAGAGTATGCCTATTTGGCACTTTCTTTCTCACACCTCTTTGTAGTAGCTGCCTCTGGTTTCATTCTTGTTGGAATTTTAAATAAAAATCTTTCAAAGAACATTTTAGAACCTTACATGAGATATTTGGGCTCCTACCTCTGCCCCTTTCCCTCCTCCTATGCATTCAGGTAGAAAAATAATTAAATAACTAGCATATAAGAGCAGCTGTAATCCTCCAGACTAGAGTTTTAGCCCTCCTAGACAAGAGCTGTACTGTGTATCACTTAATCACAGTTGTAAATACCAGAGTCCAGCTAATAGAGCATGAAGATTTACAAGGCTCTGGCTAGGGCTTGTGACTTCTCTTATCTGGTTTGTTTTCTCTTGCCATCCTCCAGCTGCCACTAATGTGGTGCTCACTGTCCAGCTGGTACTGTGGGGTGGATACATGGCCTTTTCCAAGGCAACCATTAATCTTTCTCTGTTAATTGCTCATCTGGGAATACATATGTGAAGGAGAGCAGGAAGTGATTCTCCTTGCAGTTCTCTGGCTTGACCACGTGCCCCAGCTCTGTGGTCTGATGCCGTTTTACAAAGCTCATGTAGCCTTGGTTCCAGAGGCTTTGAAATTATGTTTAATTGGTATGGCTGCTTGCATGAGTTGCTACATCTGAGTGACAGTCAGGACTTCAGGGATAACAGTAAGGACTTCACATTGCAATCCCTGTCATGGAGCATGTGCTCAAGTCTTGCTCATGACAAGATAGGGAGGGATTGGTCTGGTTGGTATCAAGAGCTTTTTGTGGAGAGGTACAGTGCTGCTAAATCATAGAATCATTTAGGTTGGAAAAGACCCTTAAGATCATCGAGTCCAACCATTAACCAAGCACTGCCAAGTCCACCACTAAACCATGTCACTAAGCACCATTTCTACATGTCTTTTAAATACTTACAGAGATGGTGACTCAACCACTTCCCTGATGGGTAAAGGTGTCCTGAGTAAGCAGTGCTTTTGGTTGTGGTGTCTGCAATGACCACTTTGGGCTTCTTTGCCGTTTAATGTTTAGTGCTCTCCTCAGAGTCTCCGCATTTGCCAGCTGGCCCTCTCCCGGCCATACCCAGACATGGCTGGGTAAAACCGTGTTCTCAGTAGGCAGTAGGGAACAGGTTCCTTTTGGGAAGAGGAAGGAGGTGATGTTAGTGATATGAGCAGGCCTCACAGCTAGGGCATAGACCTTTGTTGTAAGTTATTTAGCGTAGTCTTGTGAGCAGTAGGAGTGCTTATACATCATGCGTATGTGCATACTTGTGTGTGCATCCATGTGCACACCCACTCGCTGTGCATATGCTGTGCCTATGTGGTACCACTTATGGTGCTAGTAGGCTGGAGCAGCTTAAAACATAAAACAACTTTTATTTTAAATAAAATATTTGCTGTTATAAGGTTAGCATTCAGATATTTCTTTAATGTTATAATGAGAGCTATGTGTCATGCTGTTTTGAAGAGGAAATGCAGTACTGGGTTTTTAGTGGGTAAAGGCCCAGATAAGCATGGGACTTTGTCTCTCTTGATCCACAGGTGGCACAATACTAAATGGTGAAGGAGGAGCTCCGGGAACTCAGGATTTCCTGAAAAATAAAGGTCAGTAAAAATTTCAGGATGTGACTTGCCAATTACTGTTAAATATGGAAGTATTTTTAAAATGTTGTACATAAATCTGCTTGTAGCAGTCACTACTAGACTGAAATTTCACATCACCGTTGTCGATGGCAGCTATATTGACTAGGACATGATACTAAAATTAATTGTAAAAATACCTACCTTCAATATTTTCTTTGAAGGCAGAATCAAATCTGGCTGTGTTTTCTGAATCAGTATGTAGTAATGGAAATGTGTACAGGAGTACCTATTTTAATGTAATGCGTGGCTTTTGAGAAGATTTCTAATATGTGTGTATGTGGTTTCGAACTTTTTAACACCCACCAGCATTCACAACATGCACATACGTAAACATACATATACAAAGACACCCATTTTACGTACATTTGTATCACTGTATTTGACCAACCCCTTTACAGAAACAAAGGAACTTACATAGGCACTTTATGTGTGCTTATGGATAGCCATGCACCACGTCTGGAGTTTGCAGTGTCCATTCTTCTAAACTATAGTCTGCTGAGTACACAGACTGCTTGTGCTCTCTCAGTAATGAAACATACCCGTAATGGTACATGAATGAGAGCAAAATATTATTACAGTAATGTTAGGCTCTCATCTAAGTAACTGAACTGTAGTCCAGTATGTTCAACTTTTTGTCATGGAATTGTTGCTTAAAATACTAAAATAACAATGGGTAGAAAGATTAAAAGGTAGTTGTGTACCTGTGTGTATTAAAGTAATGATTTCTGTGAAATGAGAAGCTCTTTCAAATAGGAATTTACTTTAGGTCATTCAGATGTAGTGTTACCACATTTAGAGTAAATTGGAAATAACCGTAGTGCATTCAGAAAATTCTTATTTGGGGGACCATGAGCTATTGTAGCTTAGAGTACTGTTTAGAAGTTTTTGAAGTCTGAGTATTGTTTGAAGAGCTTGTAACCTCTAACATCTTTGTGCATCTCTCCTTTTACAGAACTGACAACTGTTCAGCAAGCCATGTCTGATGTAAATCACAGTTACGAAGATTTGGGAGTTTTATTGAAGGAAAAGATTTCAGAACTAGAAAGTATGCTTTCAAAAATGCAGAATATTCAGGAAGAATCGACCTCAATGATGCAGTGGTTGCAAAAAATGGACAAAACTGCATCAGATTGGGAAGCTGCTCCAACTGATAGTGAAGCGGTTAAAGCCCAAGTTGAGCAGCATAAGGTACTTTTTGTCTTCAAAAAAATATTCTTTCTTGCAGTCATTGGGCAAATTCTATTTGAAAAACCAATATCTCAGCCTAGCTTAATGTTGCAGAGAGTATTTAAATGATCCTAGTAAACATGCCAGTCAGGCTTAGAGCAAATCTGGCAAACTGTGTCAGTGGAGTAGAAGGAGCACTGTGTCAGAGAGGACCTGTACAGGTCTGAAAATAATAATTTTGGTGGCCAGTTTAAATAGGTGAGGCTATATTGATTATGCAATAAACTGTTTTGATCTCCTTAGTGGTTTAGAGATCTATACTGGATTATTTGTAAGATCTGAAGGGCTGTATCTATCCAAAAGCTGTTTCTGCAGCTGCTGGTTTACTGACGCTCCACAGGCCTCCCGGTCTCTGCAGCTGCAGCGGCTTACGTCTGTTCCAAGGCAGTGTTTCTCTTCAGCAGCCATGTCATGCTTGTTAAGTTATATAGCCACACAACAGTCTCTTCCCCGCTTTTTAAGTGATATGAGAAAACCACTGAATCAGCAGTAAGCTTCTGTCCTGTTTCAGCATTGGATGTATGCTTCTCTAGCAATGAAGGACAATATTTACACATGTAAACGTTCATCTGTGAAGGGAAATGTAATGGATAGGGAATTCTTTCCTTGCCTGTGATTGGGGATAAACAAGGACAGAATTTGGTTCAACAGATTCTTCTTTTATATTTGACAGGTCAGCCTTAAAAATTAACCTGAACAGCTACTGACTTTCCTCAGACTTGGGTAACATTCAGACTCAGACTAAATGTGGAAGAAAACTAGCTCCTTAATTTTTTAACAGAGAACGTGCAAACCTAACATGACTGTCTTACCGTCGGTGTAGTAATAGAAGAGTATTCACAGATAGCTGGAAAACTGAGCAAGTGCTCAGGCAGGAGTCATCCCTCTGATGCAGTTGAACCTTTTACTAAAAGTTCTAAATCAAGCACAGTTTGTTCCGTGTTTATTTTACTGGGTTTTGGATAACTAAAATGCAGCTTCATGGGACAAGCTTTGTTACTTAAGGATATTCATATAGGAGCTCTTTGCTAGGCATATAAGGACTGTTCAGTTCTGTCTGTAAGAAGAGCATGAATTGGAATTGCTGGGGCATTGCAGTCTCCTGCTAGGTCTACACTTCCAGCTACGGTGCTCTTTAACTATAGTTGTAGACGATCTGCAAGAAGCAGTCTATCTGCGATAGCAGGACTTCCACTGAGGTACATGAGGCCACACCACGCTCCTCTCTGTTGGTGCTGGCTGGGTTATTTCTGCTGTCAGCTGCACTGTGCATTAGCCAGTTTGCCTTCTGTACGAGAACAGATTCCAAGTATATGTGAATATGATGGGACCTATTGGATCTTATTTATCTGAATTACACAGAATCACAGAAATTCTTTGTCACTTGTTCAAATTAAACAATAATTGTTATAATTAATATAGTTTAAATCTGTCTGGTTATCTCTTCCCAAAAAAAATTGACTAGCAACATATACCATTATAAAGTGTTTTGACGTTCATAGCAGAAAAGTAGTACACAAATGTTACATATTTATTGTTTGTCTTCATGTTTGGCATCTCAGCATTGTGGACTTCAAACTTGACACTTTACTGATCTTCTTTAGTGTCTTATTTATTTATTTATCCCTTGAATTTGCAGCTTTTTGAAACTGAATTGAAGCAAAGTGCGAATAAAGTGCAGGAACTAAAGGACAAAGTGACAGAGCTGTTGGAGAAAAATCCCAACTCTCCTGAGGCACCCAAGTGGAGACAAGTTTTGGATAAAATAGGTACTTCAGTAACTCTGTTATAGCTCAGACTGATTTGGAAGTTATTTTATTGTGAGTTTTTTAATGTATTAGCAATTATTAGGATTTTTAATATTTTGCTCCCTCCTACCCCTTGAATTCTGTGGAAATAACTCCCTTTACAGGAGTGTAGATCTGGAGTAATTCCACTGGTGTCCATGGGCTTTGAATTTATATCACTACAATTGAGAGAGGCTATAGCTTGACTCCCTGTTGGAGAGGGCTGTATCTTTTTCAAACAGCATGCAGCTGAAACCTGATTGGTCAGTTACTGCCTCAGATACATATGTTGTTCTTCTTACAAAATACAACAAATTAAGTTAATTCTGCTTTCATGTAAAGAACAGTTTGAGTTGTTGGTAATGCTCTTCTGCATGCTTTTTTCCCATGCACTAGTGGCTTTTGTCATTTTGTGGTTTTGGTGGCTTTTTGCTATTTTCTAAAAATGATTCCATAAATTTTGCCAACAAAATTGGAAATGACCATGTTAGGACAATAGATTTTGAGATATACTGCAGTGCATAATGGTCATGAGCTTTTAAAAATTCTTCTTAGGTTTGTCATACTTTAAATAAATCATAGGTCAATCTTGTTTCGTACTGATTGGCATTTCTATAGCTACACCAAAAGTAATTTTAAAGCGGAGAATTTTTCCGATCTGTTCAATTTGTAAGTGAAACTCTGAAGTTTAAGTAGCAGGTAAGGTCTCCAAGAGAACTTGAGTAGTGCTGACATGAGCAGTGATCAAATACAGTGAAGTGGCAAAATAAACTGAAAAAAACATGGATGAAATGCAGGGACAAGGAGAGTTAGCAAAATATCAGAGCTGGCTGAGCAAGCACTGGCAGTATCACAGAGGGAAGGAGGAAGTTACAAGACCATAAGACTCAATGGCTGCTCTGGAAGCCACTTGCTACAAGTGGAAGAGACCACAGATTGGCCTAGGTATGAACCTAAGTTCACACAGCACTTTTGAAATAGTATTCTCATTACCTATCATTAGGTACCTGGGTTAGATGTCTAAATGAGCAGTTAATCTCCACATTTGAAAGAGGTGCGCTCCTTCAGAGGGCTGTTCAGAGTCTAAATTAAGGCTTCTGCTCATGCTTGGAAAGGTACCTGTTTCTCTTTACTGAAGAAGCAGCAGGATTTGTCTATCTAAATCAGGCACCTGAGTTGTAACTGGCTACAGCCCTTTGGCTCTTATGTTGTTTGAAACCGAAGCCTAAATTTGGTGGTATTTCATTTAGTAATATCCTAATCCAATTTTATTACGTGTTGTATATTCATTGCTCTAAAAATTCTGCACGTGGCTGTGCTAAACTGCAGACCTTCATCCAAGTATATATGGATCTGACTGTTAAAAGATGTATTTGCCGAGTCACTGCAATAAGGCATCTGGAGTTAATCAGCAAGAAGCCTTATTAGAGAGCTCTGTTTATGTTTCATATATAGTCTGCTGTCTGACAACCCATCTGCTAGAACATGCATGCAATATGTTAACATTGCCATTGTTAGATTCCAAATGGAAAGAGCTCAATCAAGTTACATCTGAGAGACAACAAAAACTGGAGGAGTCTTCAAATTACCTGACCCAGTTCCAGACAGCAGAAACTCAGCTAAAGCACTGGCTTGTAGAAAAGGAGCTAATGGTCAGCGTGCTGGGACCGCTATCAATTGATCCTAATATGCTGAATACACAAAAGCAGCAGGTTCAGGTGAGTAGTACCAACATGCATTATTGATTTGTTTCTTCTGCTTTTTGCTATTAGCAAAGTACTATTTTGCATCTAGATTGAGTACAGCACAGTTAGTATGAGCCATTAAATTTGTTTACCAGCAAATATCAGCCTAAGTCATATTTCACTACAGTAATTACAAGAAAAAATTATCATAAGAATGAAGAGAGATCAGAACAGCTAAAGGAAAAAAACACAAAGGAGAGATAACTGATCCTCTGATACATTTTTTTGTTTTGACAATAATGTGGTTTCTCTGTAGTCAAATGAAAATATTCTTTTGAAGTTTTATTAATTCGAGTGTGTATGTAACATTTTATGGTCAGTCTTCATATACAGTCAATGCTGCAGAACTAGCTTTTTGGGATTTTATTCACTTGACTGTGCCAGTAGCTAATAAAAATATGAAGGCAAGTGAAATGAGGTACTGTGAATAGATCTGGGGCCAAGAGTGTGAAAGAAGAAAAAGCATAATGAAAAAGTGGAGTAGTTTACTTACAGAAATACAGCAAACTACAGACAAAAGAAACAAAAGTTAAATCAGACAAAGTTGCAGAAACTAGAAATTTTAATTTCAAATATACATTTCTGTTGCTGCCAGTTACCTTAAACTGTGATGAGAAATAACATTTTTATTTTGCAAAAAATATCATTAAAGCTGGTATATCAATATTGATTAAAAAGAAGTGTTTAAAACATGAACAATGTTCTAATACTATGTGAAAATTACTTAATATTGGTTTGTAAGTGCTTCAGAAATCTAGACAGCTGGCATAAGGCTATCGTGTCACTTAATATGTATCTCTTAACTTAAAAAGAAAGGGTTTGGAATGTTCTGTAAAGTAAAACCATGATATTTGTCCCTTCTGCAAGCAGTATGACTTACTATTGAAAAAAATTATAATACTGGGAACCAATGATACAAACTTTAAAGGTCTTACAGTACACATTCAGTCATTTTGTGAATTATCTGAATATTCTCTGTTCTGTAATAATACATTGCAATATTATGTCAGAGTACAGCTTCTTCGAAGTTCTATTTCAGACAAATATTGAAACTGTCTAGGACAGGAGACACTGCTTGAAACTAAACAGTGATTTTTTTACTTGGTATAGTTACTTAATTACTGTAGTATTAACAGAATTCATTGTTTATCTGTATCTGCTGTTTGAATTTCCATTAGATGATGTGTAAATTAACCTCATTTTTTCTGGTTCTTTGATGTAAGTGCTTGGTAACAACACAGTTTATGTGTAGAAGATGCAATTATTTCACTGGCTTTTAAACTCAAAGATTGATTACTCGATAAGATTGCATAGCTGCAACAAATTCTACCTAACTTTTGTCAGAAGGCGCTTTGCTTCTTTTTTTTTTTCGTGAGGTAAATGCTTTTTAAAATTTTCTTGCTTCCCAGATTCTGCTCAAAGAGTTTGACACCAGAAAACCGCAATATGAGCAGTTAACTATGGCTGGTGAAGGGATTCTGAAGAGACCTGGTGAACATCCACCCTCCCATGGAGTTGTAAAAGAGCAACTGGCAGCTGTGGCACAAAAATGGGACAGTCTAACTGGCCAACTGAGGAACAGATGTGACCGAATTGACCAAGCCATTGTGAAAAGCACAGAGTATCAAAGTCTACTCAGAAGTCTGTCTGATAAGCTAAGTGCCTTGGATAGCAAACTAAGCAGCAGCCTGGCTGTGAGTACACAACCTGATGCTGTGAAACAACAACTGGAAATTGCTAGAGAAATGAAGGAGGAAATAGAACAGGAAATGAAGAATATAAATGCAGCTCAAGCTCTTTGTGAAGAGCTGTCAACACTGGTTGGAGAAGAGTATTTGAAAGCAGAACTTACGAGACAGTTAGATGGCATCTTAAAGTCGTTTAAGGATATTGAGCAAAAATCAGGTTAGTATTTATTGAAAGAAAAATAATAACTAAGACATAAAAGTAAAGCATCGTAGTCTCGTTTGTCTTTATAGAGGTATTGAGGGAGCTGAACCTAATGTTAGCTCTCTATCCAGTCCAACCCCCAAGCAGTTATAAATTAGAATTTAGGAGAGTCCCCGTACCTTGAAAAGGTAAAAACTATACTTAGGATCTCAAGTTTGGGAGAGAATTTGGAGCACAACAGCAGGGCTGCTTTTCTCATTTCTTCCTTCAGGTGTATCTTCACTGAATTAGAATACCAAAAGATGATGCTGTTCATTGAGCTACCTGACTGCATAGGTGCAGAGTGTAAGCCAAAACTGTAATTTTTAGGCAAGCGCCAGTTAATGGCTTGGTGAAACGCAGTAGTCATTGTATAAAACTGCCTGTGACGGAAGGGGGCTGGTAATCAGCAGCCTTCCCCTTCCCCTGTGAACAACAGAACCGAACAAGTAATACACTGCAAGCAATGTCATACTTTGTTCTCTCTAACAGCTTCAGTTCTAGCTTTTTAATTTCCTCGGACCACGGGAACTTCAAAGGATCTCCCTAAGAACAGATATTGCCTGCAGGCCATGAGTTAGACACTACTAGGCTAGATTACTTAATATTCCCTGTGCTTACTTCATAATCCAATGGAACATGACTGTGTATGTTTTACCCCTGAAGTCTTCCTGAATGGGATTCATGTAGACACAGACTGGCTAAGCTTGCCTCATTTGATTCATGTCCAAATGCCTTCACTGCTCTGCTGTAGTACAGGCTCAAGTCTGTCCCTTGCAAGACACTCGGTTGACTTGGTTGTCTTCTGGTCAAACACCACATACTAAGGACCAGCTTTCCATACATTGATGATCATTCATAAGAGAATCAATACTAATTATTATTTCTTCACTGAACACTAGCATGTTTTGATAATGAACCTCTGTGCTCTCTTCTCTTTTGTAGATAACCATGTTCAGCAGCTTCAGTCAGCGTATGCGACTTCTCACCAGTTCCAGCAAATGTCTAAGGACTTTCAGGCCTGGCTAGGCAAAAAGAAAGAGGAGCTGAACCAGGCTCGTCCTGTATCAGCCAAACTTGATGCCTTACAATCACTAATTGAAGAACAGAAAGATTTTAAGAAGACCGTGACCGATCAGACTAGTTCATATGAAAGAATTGTTGCAGAAGGAGAAAGTATCTTACAGAAGACTCAAGGAGCTGATAAAGCAGCATTACAATCCCAAATCACCACCCTCAGAAGTAACTGGGATGAAATGAATAAGCAGGTAAAAGAAAGGCAAGATAAATTAACAGACTGTCTGGAGAAAGCCCTCAAATACAAGCAGCATGTAGAAAATCTGCAGCCATGGATAGAGAACTGCCAAAGCAACCTCTGTGAATTAAAAGTTAGCATAAACCCTGCTGAAATAGAGAATTCTATTGTTCAGGTGAGGGCCTGGCAGAAGGACCTGGACAAACACCATGGGATGGTGGAGTTATTAAATAATACTGCTGAAAGTTTACTCAGTGCAAGTGAAACGGATAAAGAAATTGTTCAAGAAGAAACTAAGGTGCTGAATCAGAAAGTGAACGTGGTCACAGAGCAATTACATAAGAAGAGAGAGTGCTTGGAAAATATGGCGCAAAGGCTAAAAGAGTTTCAGGAATCATCCAGGGAAGCTGAAAAACAGCTTAAAAGTGCCAAAGAACATCTGGAAGCTCACGACTCACTTGGGCCTCAGTCATTCAGTAACAAACACCTGACGATGATGCAGGCCCAGCAGAAGGCCTTGCAGGCTTTAAAGCCTCATGTGGATTTAGCAAAAAAGCTTGCCCAAGACCTGGTGGTAGAAGCTTCTGATTCAGCAGGTGTTTCGGACCTTTTGCTCCAAGCTGAATCTTTGGAGAGAGAATACACCGCAGTGAACCAGCAGGTTGAAGATCGGTGCTCGTTCTTAGAGACAAAACTTCAGGGAATTGGCCATTTCCAAAACAGCATCCGAGAGATGTTCTCTCAGTTTGCAGAGTTTGATGATGAACTTGATAGCATGGCTCCAGTGGGGAGAGATTTGGAGGTACTGCAATCACAGAGGGAGGACATACAACGTTTCTTGAAAAAGCTGGAGGATCTTATAATGAATAATGAAAATGCTAATAAAAACTGTAAAATCATGCTAGCCACAGAAGCCGAAGCTTCTCCTGATCTTGTTGGTATAAAAAGAGACTTGGAAGCTTTAAATAAACAGTGCAACAAGCTACTAGACAGAGCAAAAGCAAGGGAAGATCAAGTGGAGGGTACTATTAGCCGTGTTGAGGAGTTTTATAGTAAGCTAAAAGAATTTTCCAGTCTGCTTGGGAGAGCTGAGGAACATGAAGAGTCACAAGGTCCCGTTGGAATGGAAACAGAGACTATTAATCAACAGCTGGATACGTTCAAGGTAGGAAGATTTCTTTCTCACTACTCTGAAGTATTTTACCACAATACAATTTCATTAAATATCATTGTGAAAAGGATTGGTTAAGTGCAGACCTTGGAGGAGTCTTGTTTCACAGCAGTCAGTTACTTTTTACCTGTTCTACATTGGATGTCTTCTGGTGCTCCAGAGAAGCTTTCCTTTGCTGTGGCGTGGCAGACATTGGTAACTCTGCATCCCAGCTGTTTCCTGTTCTGATATGTTGGCCAGTTTCATCTCACTGAATCCCACCCTTACCGAGAAACATCCTAGTAAGACGAGATCAGTTAAGCCCCTTTTGATACTGGGAGTTTACTTTAGCATCCTTATCCAAAATGCTCTGTGGAGCTTCTGTGTAGGGCTTTTTTAATATGCCCGTTAGCAATACTTGTCCAGCTCAAAAAAATGCATTGCAGTGATAGTGGGTGTTAATTGTGCTATGGTGCTGAAATGAAGTACAGATATTTGCTTGGTTTAGGTTACAATAAATTAATTTCCAGTGCTTGCTGGAAAGATTTATAAATGTTACAGATGTAAGCAATATGTGTTTGAAAAAGATCATAAATCTCCTAATGGCTATATAGTAGCTCTGAATATTCTGTGTTGCTTCGGTTTCATTTCAATCTAATATTGAGTCAAATGCTTGTATGACTTGTACATTAAGTTCACAGTTAATCATAGAAACAAGCCTTCATAACAGGATTTGATAAACCATGCTGTTAGATAGATGACCTTGGAAAAAAGTCATTACATGCTTGGCCCAACAGAGGGTGCGTTTTGCTTGTTTAAACTAGATGTCTTAGAAAGGAAAACTAAAACTGAAAACTTTAATCTGGGAATTTTGGATGCAAGTTACTGTGAGTTTTGATGATCTTTCAGAATGCATAAATAGAGACAAAAATCTTGAACAAATAGTTACATTATGAAGAGATTCCACTAGACTGGGAGGATTAAAATTGTATGCCAGTCTGTCCTAACATGTCTATCTCAATTTAAAAGAGAAACAAATGGCTTCTCTTTGTATATGGTTAGTAAAACACTTTGGATATTGGAAAATAGAAAAAGCTCCTGCTGTAATTGCTCTTGCTTACGCTGACCTTACAGGATTTCAATTGTAGCCAGTTTGTGGTCTCTGATTTTACCGCGTTTCCTGCACTTTCAAACATGAGGTGCAGCTTCAGGTCTTACTATATCTATCTATCTTGTGTTGGCTTCAAAGAACGATGCTTCTAGGGGGAAGCAGCGTGATGAGCAGACAGTAGAAGAATCCAGTTCTCTGTGCGTTGTCTCAGTGTTGTACTTCATCATGACATTGGACGAGACACAGCAATTGTACAATTCAGGAGTGAGAGCCTTCCCTGGTCTGTGCAGACCTGTGGGGAGATAGCGTCCCTGCAACCAAAGAGCTTGTATGGTAAAAAGACCAAAAAAACCTGGAGAGGCATGAAGGAAAACAGTGATAGTAGCGTGTTTATACCTCAAAGTCTACTCCAAGACAGTATTTATATTAAATGTTTATAAGCTTAGAAATGTGTTTTGCTCAAAGCAACTATTTTAGGCCATGCTTTTGCTTATGAGTGAAACACAATGCCATTGAACAGGAGGTGAAAAACAATGAAAAGGTGAAGGGGTTGTTTAAATAAGTGAAGAGCAAATACAGGAATAAAGCAGCAGAGTGGGTAGCCTTTGAAGAAAGGAAATGGGAAGACCAGAGTGGGAAATTTTCCTAGGTGAGAGTGGTAGGTAGCAAAGGGATACTGATAGCAGGAAGATCAGGATCAACCATTACTCTCCTAATGCTCAGTGTGGGTGCTACTGGGGCACAGCAAAATTACAGTAGGTAATGTACCTCTTCATGCTCTTTACCTTTCCAGAGAGCAATTTTACCGGAGGCAGCAAACTG